ATCTTTGCCTTCATCTTGGAACAGGTCGTGCACCACGTATTCAGTGGTAGGTTTAGCCTCAGGGATCAAAGTCGACACCTTTTGTGACATCTACTCATAAATAATAAAATAGTTGTCAATAAAAAATTTTCAAATTCTGTATCCAATGACTGGAAACTCACGTAATGTTTGTCTCCGATTCCGTCGCTATCCATATAGACGACAGCGTAAGACCACTGGCCGTTTACCTGCGGCTCAACCTTTTTGGTCCAAACCTGTTCCCAGTTTGCCTGTTCATACAATCAGTCAAATATTAAACAAACAATAATTTGACTGATGATTAGTTTTAGTTTACTTTTGAGACACGTTTAGCCATAATGCCATTCTTGTCCTGATTGACAGCAATTATAGCCTTGTTTTGTAACACCTTTTTGTCTTCGGGAGAGATCTCTCTCAAGTCGTTAGACATGTAAAGAGGAGCCGAAAACATGGCCCACATCGCCATTTGGGTGCGACTCTGCTCGTGGGACATACCGTAGTCGCCCACTACTATCATGTCTAGTATTGATCATAGATTCATAGATTGATTATAATTAAAACCATTATTAATTGAATTAGCAATGAAGTACATACCTGGGTCAAAGAAATGTCCTGGTCCTAGACATAACAAAAATCAAATAGTTTATAAAACTTTTAGTTAAATTATGAAAATATTGTAAAAATGAAATAAGTGAAAATAATGGACAAACACTGACCACTATATTTGCTGAACAAAGCATTGTTATCGCCATAAAAGTTGATAGTTGGCAGAATGGATTGCCACGTCTGAGTGATATCGCCATAGTTTCTGAACACATGGCAAGTGTCGACCACCGCTGAATAATTAGCGTCCTCTTGATACAGAGGCCACTCGCAGATGTAGACTATTGGACGGCCTAAACAAATACAAAGTAAAAATTAATTGAGTATTAAATCAATATATTATATTGAAATTAGTTAAAATTAGAGATAATAAAATTGATATTTGAATAATGAACTGTTACCAGGGCACAGATATATTAGCGTTGATTATTATTAATTTAATTAGCAATGAAGTACATACCTGGGTCAAAGAAATGTCCTGGTCCTAGACATAACAAAAATCAAATAGTTTATTAAACTTTTAGTGAAATTATGAAAATATTGTAAAAATGAAATATGTGAAAATAATGGACAAACACTGACCACTATATTTGCTGAACAAATCATTGTTATCGCCATAAAAGTTGATAATAGACTGAACGGATTGCCACGTCTGCTGGATATCGCCAGCGTTTCTGTACACATGGCAAGTGTTGGCTACCGCTGAATAATTAGCGTTCTTTTGATACAGAGGCCACTCGCAGATGTAGACCATTGGACGGCCTAAACACATACAAAGTAAAAATTAATTGAGTATTAAATCAATATATTAATAACTTTAATCAATTTTAATCTCTATTATTTTAACTATAAACTTATTACTTGACAATGGTCCCGTGTCTATATAATCGCAACTAAACCTGTTGCGTTGAGGAGTTTACCCATTTTGGGGTACAAGTCGTCGAAGCGTTTGGTGTCTTCATCACAGCCGTCAAACTTGAGTGCATCGATCCCCCACTCGGCGAATGTCTTGGCGTCGATGTCGTAATAGTCACCAGAGTCATTCTTTCCATTCGATCCCGGATATCTGTGCCACGAAATATCATTCATATGTTATAAAAAATAAAAACACATATTACAAGCGTAGGACATACCCGCCGCAGGTCCTGGGCCCGACATCACCATAAATACCTATTTTGAGGCCCTTTGAGTGGACATAATCTGCCAGCCCTTTTATACCACTGGGGAAGCGCTCCTTATGGGGCACCAGTCGGTTCTTTGAATCCCTTTGCATTTCGCTCCAGGTGTCGTCGACCATGACGTAAACATAACCCAATAGAAACATTGGTAGCCGCCGGTCAGACAGGCGGACTCTGAACTTCTCCAGAAGCAACTATGTTGGGAAGCCTATGGAGAACGTCAGCCAAAGAAAGCGTATCGCCCAGGTGCTGTAGGTTGGGTAGCGTGGTGTCAGTACCAGTCCGTCATCCCGTCCCACCGCACACTGTATGGCCAACAGTGCAAAACACACCAGTAGTTTGAAAGTCATGTTTAGTTTTGGATAACTATATGACCACTACTTATGAAATAAATTCAACACTTTANGTTTAGTTTTGGATAACTATATGACCACTACTTATGAAATAAATTCAACACTTTATATACTGTATTCACTGTAATATCCCTGAGATATGAAATGTGTTTTTAAATGATAAATAATGGTTTCACTGATATAAACATACTGCATATTAACTAATTGAAAGGTATTGAAAGTGAACTTTTCTAACAATTCTGTTTTAATTCATTGTATTACCATTTGATTAACTACTGTCGAAGCTCTGAGTTGTCAATCTCTCTGTTGTGTATCGCTCTATGGTGTGAACTAATATGGATTTTTTGGCGCATTCCCTATACCTGTAATGTTAAAAACATTCCCTGTTGTCAACTTCTATGCTGTGAACACATTTTGCAATATTTAGTGTTATTTTCCGCTCTGAGTTGTGTAAAATGTCCCAAAATAATAGTAAAATTGAAAATTATTTTGAATTTTTAAAAGCATAAGCGACAATATATAAAATTTTACCCACTATTATTATACCTTATAGATAAGCTATCTATAAAGTGAATCTAATATTGAAATCAAAAGTATTTCACAAATAAAGAGATTAGTCAATTATTGTATAATGTATTCTAAGATGGCTATCTGGTTTTGATGAATAAATATTATACTGTATTACAAACTATGAAGTGTTACTACAGTAATTACTATCTTAATCAATTATCTATTATTATTAATGAGAAATTGTATTGTATATAAGATTTTTATTTATTATATCGAAGTAATTTGATGTAAATTTTCTACTGATTTGATTTAACAGGTTCAATTATTTACTGAGAAAAATCTAGATAAAATTTATAAAATTAGCAAAAATGTCACAGATAATATGAATGGGATACTGTAGTAGAATTCTTGATTAATTGAAACATAATATCCAATATTCAAACTCCGATTGCCAGATATTGGTAAAGTTGACAATATTCTTTTTTGTTGTTGACATTCCCTGTTGTGAACATTCCCTACTGTGTACAGATTTGGTCTGCATTAGGTCATACACAACTCAGAGCTTCGACAGTACTTTCGATATAAGCTGTTTAAATAAAAGTTGAGTATACCACTTGAAATAATAGAGATTTGAACTGTAATTTATTTGAGACTAAATTTTAAAATACTTTAAAGTAAATTTAAATGAATCATTACTACCGTAATTAATTTATTATTTAAAGTATTAGATTAACGTATATTATTTATTTATTTATTGCAAAAACATATTTTTACCAATTCATTTATTTAGAATGCGATTAATATGAATAACAGCATATGAATTAATTTTTATCATATTTATCAATGTTAACAAGTACACAAGTACACAAGTTAACAAGTACAGGCCTAACTTAAGTACTATATGATAATCGTTATATATAATTATAAACCTAAAACTTTCTAATCTTAATAGAAGTTTACTGAATTTGGTTCATTTGAGATCATTAGTAAAATGTGTACAGGTGCACTCAGCTAAAATGTAAACATTCAGCTAAGATAATCCCACTTTTGGAAAACTACTGTATAAACCAGAACATTGCAATACTATTGATTATGTAATACTAATATTGATTATCAATTAACTTATGATTTTTTAAAAATAATAAATCTATATCACATAAAATATTTAAGATAAAACATTTTACTTTTAACATGAATCATATTTTAAAATGATTTTGCATAAAATATAACTTATTTTCTTTGTTTGTTTGTCTGTGTAACTGAGTTTGCCTTGATCATTGAATTGTTATTTAAGTATTTAAGGTGCAGGTAATCCATAATAAACAAAAGGTCAACTAACTTTATTTTAAACATATTATTAAACAAAAACAGAGTATCATTAGTCATCCCTACCGATGAAGTTGGTGGTGTCAAACTTAATAATGGAACTTGGACAGGTATTATACGTGATATGCTTTATAAAGTAANATAATGGAACTTGGACAGGTATTATACGTGATATGCTTTATAAAGTAAGTGATTTATTATTGAACTGAGCAGGAATAGATTTATTTTTAAAATTATTAACCACCGAAAGGAGGTGGATATGTGCGGCTCATATATGGTGTACACAAACCATAGGCTGTCTATCGGGGAATCGCTATACACTGGTATGGTTGGCAATCAGATTACTATATTATCAGGCCAAGTCTATGAACCAGGCAAATTGAGCCTGTTCAGTTCATTTCGCATCAGCACGTGGTGCACAATATTTGCAATATTTATAATTTGTGCCGCTATTATAATACACAACGCATGTTTTAAATATCGAAATGATCTTGCAAAAACATCATTATTAGAGATTTTTGTTTCTGTGATTCTCGACCATTTGTTGATGTTTATTGGTAAATGTAAGTATTGTATTACTGTGCGGTACTGAATTACTAATAATTTAGAACTTTTTATATACAATATTTTGTTCAATGTACAAAATTAATGTTTAGCTGCTACAAGTAAATACGTACGAGCTAACTCGATAACAACAATCGTATACATGCTATGGTTTTCCAATTGTATGTTTTGGGACCAATTATTTATTGGTGAATTTCTGTCGAGCTTAGCCACCAAACCCTTATCATCAATCGATAGCATTGAGGGCATAGTAAGATCGGACAGACACCTAACGGTGCTCATGGAACTGGAGAGTTTTGCGTACAACTATTATTTAAAGGTAACTTGGAAAATAGGGTTTCATTTTTATTAAATTATTGTATCCAGGATAAATACCCGCACTTACACTACAAGCCGTACATGAAGTACGAATTAAATACATTGAAATTTTTGGAGCCAATAATCTCGGGAAAAGCTGTATTAATACATAACGAGCCCGTTATCCGCGAGATTATGGATATGAATCCCTCCCTTTCCCTACATATATCCAAATACAAGTCATTACTAGGGATCGGAGGTATAGTTGTCCGAAAGTCTTTGACTAACTCGATAACAACAATCGTATACATGCTATGGTTTTCCAATTGTATGTTCTGGGACCAATTATTTATTGGTGAATTTCTGTCGAGTTTAGCCACCAAACCCTTATCATCAATCGATAGCATTGAAGGCATAGTAAGATCGAACAGACACCTAACGGTGCTCATGGAACTGGAGAGTTTTGCCTACAACTATTATTTAAAGGTAACTTGGAAAATAAGGTTTCATTTTTATTAAATTATTGTATCCAGGATAAATACCCGCACTTACACATTAAGATTACCCAAAAAGTGCGAACGTAATATGTGAACACCCCTAAAGTCAATTTCACGAGAAAATCAATAAACAAAAGGGGTCGAAATCAAAATGAATCCAGGTTTAACCTTTGAACCACAGCATTGGACAGTTGTAATATTTGACAGTTCAATATCTTAAACCTGTTTTGAGACAATAATATTTACTGATTCTCTCGTGAAATTGACTTTAATTGTTGAGACAAAATAAAAACTAAACACTATTTACATAATTTTCATAATAGAATTGTACATAAAAATGGATGAATATGTATATTTACATACTTTCTAATTATGGTCACCACATGCCCTCATTGGCGGCTTTGATAATAACTTAAAGGTTTAAACCGACACTTCAAAAGCTGTAACATATTGTATGTGTTGTCGACTAAGATTAATAACATCTCCATGACAACGAGAAGTCTAAACATAAATGATCACAGTGAGGTTGACTAACACCAATTAAACTCTTCCCTTAAGTCGCTTCACAACTCATGTCAACTTAATAATTGATAATTCTACATATAATACACATTCACATATAATACACATTCACATATAATACACATTCACATATAATACACATTCACATATAATACACATTCACATATAATACACATTCACATATAATACACAT